CGCAGAGCGAGGCGAGAAGAGGCAGCCTCTGCCCTGAGGGCCTTCTGGGAGGAGGGGCCTCCCGGGGAGGCAGGGGACGAAATGCGGGTGAGATGTGGGGCATGCGGGCCGGCCGTGATTTTGTGAGGGGGTCGACTGTTGGGGGCGGGTTGGGGGGAGACGCGGGGCGGGACGCGCCGTTGGGCCTACTATGGCGGCCGCCTTCGGGCGTCACGAAAGGGCAGCCTGTTTAATTTATTACTGTTACCTGCTCCAAGTACGGGGGCCTGGGAGAGGCGCTTGTGGGATTTCGCGCTTCAGGTGCCAGAATAGCCCTAGGTATTATTATGGACCTTGAATGTGGTGAGTGTGCCGTCTGTTGCTCTGACTCACGCAGTAAAATGCCTTGGGTGGAGAAGAAAAGGCAGGGTGTCATTTTGATGTTGGTTGGTTTATTTAAAGCATTTGAATCCCGCCTTTCCAAAGTCCTTGAAGCAGAGCTGCAGTAGAGGCACCAGAAAGATAAAAGGGGAGAGAGGGTAGGCGACGTTGTCGCACATGTTAGAGTTCAAACTACATTGTAGGGGGCTGGTGGGTGAGGTATTTGTGTGGCTGGGAGGGCTGCCTTTTGCCTATCCCTTCTGGGGTGGCTGCAGCGTTGTTGGGGTGGAAAGGAGAGGCGGGAGGCTCTTGATCGGGGCAGGCAGGGTCTATGGTGGGTGCAGTTGCATTTATGGAGTTTTCTGCGTGATGGGTGAGAAGCACCTTTAAAAAGTAACATAGATGATCTGTTACGTTTACAGTGGACTTTTGCTCAGGAGTAAGTTTCACTATGTTTGTTTGGAAGAGTGCTGTGTGATGAAAGGCTTAGGCTAGAAGGGTCTGTTGAGTGTAGTGGGCAAAGGATTGAGGTGACGTAGTTGGAAGAACCTGCCTCCTTCACTAGGCAGAGTGTGGCAGCTGCCTTGGGGTTTGGGCATCATTAAAAAGTATTATTTGCAACACATTCCTATAGGCATCTGTCAAAAAGTAAATTCCATCATGTTCAACAGGTCTAATTCCCAGGTAAGTGTGCATAGGATTCTTAGCCATATATTTTTAATGGTAGAAGAAGGGATAGGGAGTGCCATTTGGATTATTTGCCTCAGGCATTGAACTGTCTGGGGTCTGTCCTGCCTGCCCCTCTCTCCCAATTATTTATTCAAAATTTTGTATTCCACCAGCTAACTTAGATATAAAGTGATACTGTAATGATAAACGAGGATGAGTATAATGGTTAAAATGGAATGAAGTGTGACAAAGTGGGGGAGGAGGAGGAAGGATTTACGAGAGCTTTTAAGAGTGTGATTTACGGTATATGTACAGAGTAGCTGAGGTTGAAGGGTGGGGCTGAAACTGCTAAAGAAAGACAAGGAACTTTCTACTTAATCGCAAATATGGGAGGCAACCTTTAGTGGGGTCATTATTGTTAGTAGTTGTGTATAAGGTTAGGAGAAGATTTGTCATTGTGGTTACTTAATTCATATGACAGGAGTCTTGAGCAGGATTTAGGATAGTGTATCAGTAGGGGAGTGTATAAATTTCAGATCTTTTGCAAGTATAGCCTGATAGCACATGATGCAAACATCTGTAAAGCTAAGCAGGGTTAGGGTTGGGGCTTGCTTTAATCACTGCCTAGATGAAATGCCACCAGGGCATGAACTGCACCAGTATGTGCCACCTTCAGTTCCATGATGGAAGAAAGTCCATACAGCTACCAAATAAATAATAATTCAGGTTATTTAGTACCTTTGGGACCTAACCTTAACTTAGATACCCGCACCTGCTTCCTTTTCTACAGCCAGTATCTTGTTAGCATCCTCTTCTCCACCTAGATTCTTAAATTGATACCCATCTGTGTCCTTCACTCTTGCATCCCCATTTTCTAGCTAGTGTTAAAGACACCATATTTCTCCCACTTGCCTGTCTCAAACTCCTTTGTTTTTGTGCCACCATTTCCAACTTCCCTCTTCTATTTCAGCAACCTGTGTTAATAAATCCTGGCTTTTAAAAAAAGGCCCATGTGATAATAGGTTGAGGGAAAGGGAACTGGTCTTACTCATATCCCTTAACGTCAGCAGTTTGGGGTGTTTGGCTAGACAGCTGGCCAGGAGTAGGCCAGTAAAATATGGGCCAACAGAATTGAGTGTTTATAGGTCTGCTGCTGATAAGATACGCAAAAGTGTTTGTACCACTTTCCCGCTACATCTTCAGTTTAATAAACAGAAGACTGAGGCACTATTTTATCTTTTACATTCTGCCTATCCTCCTAAGACCATAGAGCATTACCTTTCTATAAGACAGACAAATTCTATGGGTATTTCTAGACAAGACTTTTACCCACACTTAATTCATGCCATTTTATTGAGGGGGGGGAGGTTCCTTCCATTTAAACCTTCTGATGTTTTTCCCACCACTTCTTCCATCAGTCTCTTTTCCTGAATAATCCATGATATGTTTTGATTGGTGGTGCGATGAGCTGCCTTGTATCTGGAGTCAGAGTTGTGGTGGCAATAGAACAATGGTGTGTATATTCTGAGTGCATTCAAAGTGCTGCAGACGTTTCTTCCAGGCATTTAAGCTCTTTGGTGTTCATTGTTTAAAAATTGTTACGGTATTTTTAGACATTTACACTGCTGCTGGTTTTGACTTTGATCTTTTACTGTAGTTCTAAATTGTTAAATGTACACACACATTCTATTGTATGCTGTTGTGCCTAGAGTGCTTTAGCTACTGGACAGCATAGAAATATAATACATGCTCACAGTGCACATTTGATGGAAATTAAAGTAATGCTGATAAGGAACTTCCAATCTGGTAAGGATAAGCGATGATGTTGTGAAAGAAGAGAAGAAATATGGCACATTTTTGTGGAGCTTAAAACTGGATGGATTTGAGAGACAAAAGGAACAGTTTATGGACACTTGGCAGTTTGAAAGTGTGGGGAATTTTGTTGAAGTTTGGTAGGTGTGTGCTACTGCTTTCTAAAATAGAAAAGTGATGTGGTTTCCACACACTTGGAGTATGGCTTCATTATGGCCTAGTTCACATGTAACATCAATCCAGAATGTGTGTTGAGTATGGATGATTGATGAATAATGGGTTATTATGTGAGAATCCTGCGGGAAGCTATAATTTGACTATCATCTGATTCACAGGTAATAACAACCAAGGCACCATGACTTCTCTTCTGTATAGTTCACAGTCAATGAACCACTGGTTTGCATGTAAAACAAACCAGAGTGTGGATTGAGTATGAGTTGCCATTGAATCATGGTTGATGTCAGGAGGAAATTGCACTATGATTTAACTATAGGCTGTTAATTACAGACAACCCAGGACAAGGAGCCATGGTTTTTTGTCGGGTTGTGAAACCTAGGGTTTAATTACATGTGAACCAAGTAGTGTGTTGTGGTTGCAGAAGGGCCTGCCTGTGAAAATGAGAAGACTGCTGCTAGATGCTGGTAGGCTGAATGGAGACAAATTAGATACGTCTGATTACTGAGCAATGGTAGACCAAGGATCCGCAGAGAGGACAGCTTGTGTGTTTATGTCTGTCTGATGAGGTGGAATGGAGAGGGTGGGGGCATAGTTGAAGGTGGGTACATGAAGCCTGAGAATCTGGGTAAAATGGCCTGGATTAGAAGGAATGGGGTGTGGGGTCATAAAGTGAGGAATTCGTGTTGACAGAAAAAGGAAACTGAACCACTGATGGGTGGAGGAGCTTGTGCCATATATGGCAATGCAGACCCTTCAAAATCTGTGATTTGAGTGTGGAAGAAGTGGGCGTGGATGCTCCGTGTTTACAGGATGAATAGCTTAGGGTGTGGGTTTACAGGGATGCTGAAGAAAGCGAGGTGGAGTCTAGTCTTTCGAGTGAGTAGCCAACACCGCTTCAGGGAATGTTGCGCCGCGCCGCTGTATCCGCGGCTTTGCATCTGACGAAACTCTTGCGTACGAAAGCTGGTGCCACGGTAAATGTGTTGCCAGGCTTTCGGGGAGGGGGCGTGTCTTCAGACCGTTTCCCGTTTTTGCTGCCATGAATATGGGTCTGCGGGCGGACAGTCAGGGCTCAGGGTGGATGCTGCAGTGAAGCCAGTGGCGCTTCTCGCTCGCCACCTCCGCGGCTGATTCAGGAAGCTCGTCGGGACGTAGATAGGGCGGGCGGAGGGCGAGGGCGGGCCGCGGCGCGGAGCGGGGTTGTGGCCGGCCGCTCGGGTGTGCGCGCGCGTGTGTATGTGTGCCTTTCTCCCTCTCTGGCTGAGTTTGTAAACAGTGTCCTCGCGCTGCCGTGGGCGGAGCAGACGACTCCTGGCGCGCCCGGATTGGCCTCGTTGCCTCAGCCAATGTTTTTCAGTGGTGACGGGGAGGGCTCCCTCTCCGATGCCTGGAGAGGCAGTCAGAGTGCGGCGGCGGCGGCGCGGCGGCGGCAGTGCCCTTCTGGCTGGCTGGCTGGCTGGCTGGCTTGCTTGCTTGCTTGCTTGCTTGTGTTGTATGTGCGGGCGAGCAGGCGGCGGCGGGGAGCTGCTGTCCAGGCAGGCGCGTGTGTGCTTTGCCTTCGGTCTTGGTTTGCGTGCGGAGGGCTATCAGCCTGGGGAAAGTTTGCGGGTTGCCGCGGGGATGACTCAGAAGCCATAAAGCGTAAGTAGCGGCCGCGGGGGGGGGGGGGTGGGGGGGGGGGGTTTGGGGCGGGGGGGCCCTTGGGGGGGGCCGGGGTGGGGCCCCACGAGGCAAAAAGGGGGAGGGGGGGGCGGGGGGGGGGGGGGGTATGAGGGACGGGATTATGGGCCGGGGTCTCATGGTGAGCGCCTGTGTCTCCACCCTCTCTTTTTATTCCCTCCCCCTTCTTCTTCTTCTTCTTCTTCTTCTTCTTCTTCTTCTTCTTCTTCTTCTCTCTCTCATTCTCTTGCTTTGCACTCGCTCTCCCTTTGTTGGGCTTCATGTGAGAAGGGATCCGTTCTCCACGGTCCTGTTCGTGACTCTCACACGGTGGCGTTTGGCGGGGAGCGCCGTTCAGACGCAAGAGGAGTAACTTGGACTTGTAATTGAATTTCTTTTCAAGTCACAGCAAGGCCTTCCTCTCCCTCCTCTGAAAGCGTCTTCCCGGATATTTTCCTCTGTATATCCCCCCCTCCACACACACCTTTTTATTCCTTGCCTGTGAGGGTTCTGCCAACTTAGAGTTTGCAGTTCAAAAAAATTGGCATTTTTCTCCAACTTGTTGGTTTTGTCAATCCTACCGGCAACGATGGAGCACTTTGCTTAGTCAAGTCGCAGTATACAATTTGGAAAGAAAGTAAATAAAGGTGAGTTGGAGTGGGGGTGTGAAGAGTAGTGTTCCTTCTTGTCTTGCTCCTGGAGTGACCTGCTGGGGTTCGCTACTTGCTGCCCTCCTTTTCTTTTGACACCTCCAGAACGATATTTAATAAAATATATGGTAGAGTCTCTGCGGGTTCCAAAGTGAAAGCTTTTCATGTATCTGTCTCTTTCCGTGTAGCTAAGAGAAGGAATTGGGGGTGGCAAACCAGTTGTAAAAGGATGAGGGAAGGAGGAGTGAACTGAGGAGCACTTGCAGTGTACAAACTCTATTGTGACGCACTTTACAACTGATTGCTCTTGCCAAACCTTCCAGACTTGCTGTGATCAGCATATTCGGTAGAACAATGGAGCGAGAGCCTGGCCGACTTCCCCGTCCTGCACAAGCACAATCACAGCATCGACTCCTCACTTAACATTTCAGCACTGTATCTGATCCTCCTGTGCAGTTAGTTACTTGAGGGAAAAGGGAAGGATTTGAGTTCAGTATTCTTTTATCTTTCCTGTTTGTTTTTTCTTTAGCCAGTTGAACTATATCCCCTCCCAAATATGACTAAACTTGGAGAACTGCTCAGCTGGCTAGCAAGTTCTGTCTTAAAACTTTTTGTTTTCATTTCATAAAGGCTTTTTCTGTGTGATGTTGGATTGGATTGTACACCTTTGACCACATTTGCTTATTTATTCATTTAAATTGGGTATGCAAGTTAATTCTTGGAATTCTGAAAGTATATAAAATGCAGAGTGATTTGTATGCTTAACATTATAGTTGTGATTTCATAGACTCAGCTATTGAAAGCCACTTATACCTTGTTTTACATGTAATTTGAGATGTTTTTCTCTTCTCTCTCTCTCTCTCGTTTTTTTCAGGGTGGGAAAAAAAGACCAAATGGCAAAGCAATCTTCTGATTTAACTTCTGAGTGCAATAGAGAAGGTGGACAATTGGAGCCTGCTGAAAGGCCAGCTCAGCCTCAGCATCTTCGGCCTGGGGCCCCAACCTCTTTACAAACTGAACACCAAGGTAATCATTCTGGCGAGTGGGACATTTCATCACCCAGTAGCCCTCAGGGACCATTGGCACCACCCTCCAGCCCCAGTCCGTTTGCTACCAGATCCCCGTTTTTCATATTTGTAAGAAGATCCCCACTGCTGTCCAGATCCTCCAGTGGGTATTTCTCTTTTGACACCGACAGGAGCCCAGCACCTATGAGTTGTGATAAATCTACACAGACTCCAAGTCCCCCGTGTCAAGCCATCAACCATTATCTAAGCGCAATGGGTAAGCAAGACCATGGTAAGAAACCTTTCCATCTGTGTTATGAATATAACTCACTTCTCTCTCATCTTCCAAGCCTTTTATGTTTTTATCATTGAGTCTGAATGACTCAATTAGTGTAGTATAGTAAAGAAAGGAAATTGTGAGCCAGAAGTTCTGATATTTCTGGAAAACATTCCAGAAAAGCATGAATTTACTGTGTACATGTCCATGTATTGAGAGGGAGAAGTTATGAAACTTGTGCTCTTTTCCTTAGAGTAATATTTGGGTCTATTTGGAAGAAATAAGGCTCAAACTACATATGGCATTAAACATTACTGGTAATGTGAATGTTTTAAAAATGTTAAGTAATTACATTTTAGATAGAGGTGAACTGGCACCATGGTGCACTGAGAGGGGGGTTAACCCTTTTTTCCTTGCCATGTCACACATAGAAGCCACATCCTGAAGCTGCTTTTAGCCTTAGGAGAGCCATTCCTGTTGGGGCCAACTGGATCATCTCTCCTGGGGCTAATAGTTGCTTTGAGAGTGGGTTGAGTGACCATAGCGACAGAACCACTCATCCCTGCACACTGTGAACCCTATCAATCCTTTTGTGCCTGCTAGTTATTTAAAAATCCCACAAATGAGGTAGAAAGCAATGTAGAGTCCTATGTAGTTTGGTTCTGAGTTAGTAATTGTAGACAAAATATCCAGCATTTAAATATGAAGCAGCTAAAGGTTTTCTGTTTTTCCTCAAAGCGATCAGGAGATAACTGTTCAGGTGCTTTCCTGGGACTGAATGTCTCTGGAAATGATGTTATAGCCAAGTTGCTGCTTAAAGTGCCAGCAGGGGATGAGGGATGGGAATGGGTGGAAGGACACACTTATCTGAAAATTCTGGTAAATCGCCCAACTCAGAAGTTGCCAAATCTTCCCTCCCACTGCTTTAGGGGGCTATTTGGCCCAATATTATATAGTATTAAAATGCACACATGATTAATATGAGTTTATCCATGTCAAGACTCCTCCTCCTCAGCATCATCATTATTATTATTTATATTGCACTTATATTCTGCCTTTTTCCACTTGTGTGGAATTCAGGGTGGCTGTCATACTTCTCTTTTATCTCAGAACAACAACAGGATGAAGTAGGTTAGGCTGAAAGTGAGTGACTGGCTCAGCATCAGCCAGTGATCCTCATGGCCAGGTGCAGACTAGTATCTGAATCTCCCTGATCTCCTGGGAGAAGTTAAAGAAGCATTTTAAAGGTGGAGTGCAAACCCAAATGACAGTGTGTCATACAGACCATTTGGTTCTACCTTGATGAAATTGGGTCGCACAAGTTGTTGCAGTACATTGTGTTCCTTATGCTTCAGCATGGCTGATTTTCTGCTTTTGATTGCTCAAGAGTCCTGAGAAAAGGGGAACATCATTTTTCAGGGATTCTTTCAGTAGTGTATTTTGTTGTCTACAGCACTGAACCAGGAATATGGGAAGCTGCTGCATGAGCATACTCTTAAGCCAGTAGACTCCCATGTACATATGTCCCCTTTAAAGTAGTTTAGGGATCTTAGCAGGAATGTTTATCTTTCCATTTTTACCATGGTAACTGAAGGCACTTCCTGAGAATTCTACCAATCAGGTTTGAGGAAGAAAACCTCTTAGTTTTTTTTATAGCCTCTTTGCTTTGATATTTTAAAATGTATAAGGGCTTAGTTATTCTTCTTAACTGAAAAAGTAGAACATTTGAACACATTTAGGAAACTTTCTGTGCAACTGTTGATTAGAGAACAGGATAGTAATAATAAACATCAAACCAACACAGTGTGTAATCTGCTTGTAAAAGGTTTTAGGACTGCTGCTAAAATGTGTTCAGAATATTTTATTGTTCTTCATGATCAAGCTTTGTTGCCTTTTAACAGTTAAGATGTGCAAATTTAACAGTTCACTGCTATGAACTTTACAAGGAGAATCCAAGACCAGATAATTTCCCTATCTTCTTTGGCTTGCAGAGCACTGAGGCAGCAGCTCCAGTGCTGGAAGAGCTTCAGGAGAGAAAAGGGGGTAGGAGGAGAAAGCAGGATCCTCAGGTTCTTAAAGGTGCTTTATTTAGTAGGGTATAGGATATACAGCAGGCTCCAGTCTTGATAACCATTATATACTGAGTGGCAGTCTCTTAAGAGTCCGCAGTAAATGACAAAGCAACCAAAACATGTTTCTGGCAGATGGACAGTAGAATTTAACAGGCCTCCTAAGAGAGAAAAACATGAAGTCCTGGAGCAACTATCAAAGATGCTACTCTGTTCTTGTTGCACAGATGACTTGACTGATCTTTGAACATTCCACAATGTGCTCAAGTTCTGTCTACAGGTGGTATTGAAACATGATGCCATGTATTTTATTTGAAAGATGTCCCATCATGTTTATTGAGATGTACATGCTAGTTAGTGTAAATAAGATAGTCGCTTGAAACTGTTGTCCTCAGCTGAAGACTTTGGTGTTCTTTTTAAAGTTTCTTATTCAAAACCATTGTGCTGGTGCATTAGGGCAAACCTCCATGGATAGGCACAGTCAACTACCAGGGCCACATGCTCTTCAGGAATGTTGCTCCTGTCTCCTGTAGGTATCCTAAATATGGGGTAGAAGGGCAAAATATTCATTTGTTAGTTTGACAAAGCCAGTTTTTTACCAATATATGATCTGATGAGTATATAAGGTTCCAACTTTACTTTCATTTGGCTTGCAGCATATAGTTGAAGTCTTCAGATTCACAATTACATTTTAAATGCAGTTCTCCAGATGAATTGGAAAATAGGAGGTTAGAAACATTTCTAAAAGTGAAAATGAGGAGGTGAGGTTTTTAGAAATCCTTTCGGTGAATTTCATATTTTACTTTTATGAGTTCTAGCTGCATAACACATGAAGATAATGTGTCAGACAGACACAACTGTACAGCAAATACATGTCTATCTGCTGTAACTTGGGTTTCCTGAGGATGGCACGTACATGGGTGTGCGTGTGTACACACACAGAGAGCTCAAATGCAGCTAGGATGTGCAAAGTGGGCATGACCCACTGTCTTATGATAAACTTCAAGTCTTCTAATTTTATTTTATGAAGGAGCAAAGAAGGTGGTTTTGGAAGTGCAAAGTGATAGACCTCTGTTCCACCTTTGGCTGTAATATACATTTTCTTAACTTTTTTCCAAGCTCTTAAAAAAGTTCTTCATTTTTCCTTTCTACATTGTAAGTGTCTTAACTTTCTGTAAGTAGAACTGTGTTATTATTAAGGGTTGTTCATAATTGTTGTTTGCCATGTATGCATGACAGATCATGCAGAATGAACCATTCAGAATTAACTAGGCAAGTTAGCCACACAGCTGCTGTCAAACAAGTAATGGGTTTCAGAAGTTCAGTCCTATGGTAATTTATAATGACCATATCTATAGCAGAAAGTTTACTTTTAATGTGTTTTTTCTCTCAAATTCTGAAACCCTGCCTTTTTGCAGCTTCAGGCAAAGTTTATATCTGAGTTTACAGTGATGAAAGGGAGGGGAAGTTTTCTGCATTGTGCAGTTTATATAACCACTTCCCTTTCTTCATATTCCAGGTGAAAGTTGATTTTATGTTTGACTTGTTTTCAATATAAGTCCATTTGTTTATATGGCTAAATCTCAATCAAGAAATAATATTACTATTTCTTGAGATAGGATGAGATATTGGAAAGTCTCTTTAATGCATTCAAACATAAGCTTTATGAAATAAAAATCAGTACACTATTGTGCCAAAGGTACTATAATAAAATGCCATCTAATAAAATGAATGCAAGTTTCATAAGCTCATCAAAAGAAATGTTTGATTTAGACCAGCAGAAGGCAAATCACTGCCCTCCAGATGCTTTGCACTGCAATTCTCACAACCCCTGTCCACTAGCCATGCTTGCTGGTGCTTATGGAAGTAGTAGTCCAAAATATCTGGAGGGTAAATTCCCATCCCAAGTTTATTCTAAAAATGCATTCAGGGTTCTTTAATTTATGATGACACATTGTTTATACTGAAATATACGACGATATGCAGCACTTCTGTTGCAATGAAGAAAGTAAATAAAATCTGTGCTGCTTTCAGTTCTTGAATTATTAAAAAACCTCTCATATCAAATGGATACCATTCTGTATGTTTTCCTCTTCCTGGAAGTTGTTAAACTTCCTACAAGAGGACTTGAACATTTTCTGATAAGTAGAGATTACATCTGGCAAAACCTTGCCACTAAATGAGCTTGATTGTGTAGACTTTTATGGAATAATAATGGTGAGTGGCTTACAACATTAACATTTTGCAGGGAGAGCAGAAGTGCAAATAGCTCCTGCATCCTCTTTTTGCAGTTCTGGTGTAACATCCAAAGAGGGAAACAGTTTATTTTCCTGTGGTGATGTGTGTAAGGCATACCTTCTGGTGCTCACAATCCCATGGGTAGGAAAAGGTATGTAGCTTTTATTTTAGATAAAAGTAGCACCTCAAGGCAATAATATCTGATTTTTCACCCCAACATTCTGAATTCAGGCTGGGTAGAATCTTCAGAAATATGATTTCTTCCAGTTACATTCCATGAAAAGGTAATTGTAGGAGAAAAAGCTAATAAGTATAAAACATATTCTGTGATACTATTTTTGTTCTGTCTTAAATTCTACTTCACAAAGGTTTGATTCTCATTGAGGTGATAAACTTGTATCCAGGGGTGTACCACTTCAAACTTCTGATAAAGGCTGTGATGATCAGATGCTTCTTTCATTTGGACAGTTCCCATACAGAGGCCTGGAATCAGAAGAAGGTTAAGATTAGAACCTTTGCTCCTGATGACTTTTTTCCTGTGACCAGATCCTCTTTGATTTGCCACATGAAGTATTAGAGCCCAGACACAGTCAAATACTATTAGAGACAAATAAGATCTAAATAGCCACAGTAACATACACAGCTTTCTAGGTAGTATGTGCTTTATTGTTACTCCTGTGCCTTAATAAAAGCAGGCTGTTTTTATTCTACTGATAAAATAATTACTTCCATTGTGAATGGAGTATGTGTGGTTTGCAGCCGTTACAGTGTTTTGCCTTCCCATTTCTGGGATGCTGCTGCTTGCTTTCTGGAGTTCACTAGAGGTCCTTCTGACTCCAGTCCAACATGTGCTGGCAGTTAGAAGTAGTCACAGTTATGCTTGTTCCGCAAGCAGCTAAATGACCTCTCTGCCAACTCTCTTGCTGTTTCTTACTCCTTCTGCTGTTCTGCTGCAGAGAAGAACAGGGAGGAGATAGTGCAAGGCAGCACGTGGGTTACTCCCTACTAGTGGTTAGTTGAGCTGGCTTAATTTTCACCCCTTGGCTCACATAAGAAAAAAATAGTTTTTCTTTACATTGCCTGGACTTTTATACTCCTCAAGAAGGAAGATTAAGGTTTCTTATGCATTTGGGACATGGCAAACACTGTTACATATAATTGATGATAATGTTGGGTTAATTGGAAAAATAACTGTCTGACTTTAGAAACGTAAAATAAAGGTCATGTTTAAGACTTAGGTCTATATCTGGAGCATAGTAAAACTGGTTATCCTTATGTTGTTTTGGTGCATATAAATTAATATTCCAAAGCAAAGTTACAGTTAAATAAAAAATTATTTGTTAAAATAGCTACTTTGCTAGAGAGTATTCCAGATGTTCTAGCTTTGCTGTGAGAATTGGCATGTGTTAAATGCTGTGGGAAATCATACATGTTTCCTGCCCAAGTTTATGAAAATTATAATGACATTTAGAACTTGGCTTGAATAGATTTAAGACATCAATGACTACTGGTCTTTAAAAGGGTTTTTAATTGGACATGTAGACTAGGTGTCCATCTCACGTAGAAAGAGAATTGTTAGAATTTGAAGAAGGAAAATTTGTTGTTTTCAGAAAATAGTGTTCAAGTGGCTTATACCAGCCACCTCACACTTGTAGAAGTCTTAGGGTATTGCTGAGTGAGAGCCAATCCCATTTATGAAGAAGAGTAATTTAGGATAGTTAGCCATTTTCAGCAAACAGAAAATATTTTTCTGTGCTCAATGTGGGCACAGGTTGGACTAAGCTAAATTCATTATAAATCTGCAAAACTGGGAGGGGGGAATGGTCTGAAACTTCATATAGATTAGTCAAATCTGATTCATCTATGTTGGAGACCAGCAAACACCCATGATTTGTTATATATATGTTAAAATTCTGTACACACAGTATATTGCCGGATTCCCAGTGCGGGCTAATTTCACATTGATACTGTGCTGTCAACCTCAAATGTTCAGAAACTATGAGTCAGGCATGCTACGAAGAAAATTTGTATATTTGGTTTCTGTGTTACTAAAGGCATTCCACGGTCTTTTACAGCTCTTCTCAGAAATTGTGTTATTTAAACACTTTTTGATCAAGTGAAAGTTGCGATTCTCTCAGTTTCCAAGTAGGGACTTTAAATATTACAGTCATTGTGAGGCAGCATTGTGAGATTCCACAAATGCTGCTCAAGAATGCTTTGATTATTAGAGCTAGTACATTTCTGAGATTAAAGTAATGGAAGTAAATCCATGTATTAGTACAGGCAAGCAAGCAGTTCATTCTAGACCAGGGGTCTCAAACTCAACTTACCTGGGAACTGCTGGAAGTACAGTCTGGGTGAGGCTGGGCTGCATCAAGTATTCCACCACTGCGGCGGTGGTGGGCCACTCATCCCATAGCCGGAGCTTCGAAGGCTGCAGGGCCCCTCCCCCATGCCTCACCTGTCCCGGCAATTGGCCCGCAGGCCCTGAGTTTGAGACCCATGTTCTAGACACATAGTGTTCAGCTGCATTACTCAAGACATCACTTTCCTGCAGCTGCTCTGTGTGCTGCCTTACATTTAATGTGACAGCTTGAATTGTCATGTGTGCATTGACAATGCATGGAGAATGTTGCAGTACCTGATAGTTTTCTTTCAAGGAACCAACCTAGGATGTTTTTTTCTGGCTTTGAATCTGATGACTAAATATATTCATGCATTTTTTTAAATTGGAAAGATGTTTTAAATTGTTAAATTATTGATTTCTGTTGTAAGCTGCCTGGAACACTTCAGAGATAAGGAAGTATGTACATGTGTTATATAAACAATTTCAAAGACTTTGGTACACACTGTGTACTTCAGAAGGGATGTTCTGCACAGCTCAAATAGTGCTAATAAATGTTCTACAACTTTCTTACTGGGGACACTGGTGTTATTGTGGATAATTCCCATTGGATACAGAACACCTGTGCTTCCTTCCAGAAGCTCTAATAAAGATTTTTGGTACAAGAACTTGCAGGCTAACAAATTTTAATGTCACTTTCTTTGTTCTATGTCAGTTTGTGAGGGCAAACCTGCTAGCTCTACTGTTTTGGAAATCCTGAATTAATGATTACCATGAAAAAATGTTTCACTGTCTTTTATGTCAGTTACAACCCTATCTTAAAACAGTTGTGGTGGTGTATTGAGCCTGAGTGTGGGAGTAATGCTTTTTATCGCTGGTGTACTGTCTTACACTGTATAGATGGATGGGTAATGCTCTATCTTGTGCATTTGTTCTGGCATGGCAAGGTCCAGGATTGGACAGTTAGTGAGATATTTTCTGAGTTTTGCCTCTAATTGTATAGTTGCTAATGGAAGCTGAGATGCAGGTGTATTTGGCCTTTAATAAGAAAAAGATCAAGTAATTATTGCAAGGCTTCTTGATATTACGAGGTTATTGCTGAACACAAGATAATAAATTGTAGAATGCATATGTTCTTAATATAGACACTTTATAAGTTAATTTGCTGGCTACTGTTGGATGTACAATGCTGAATTCGATAAGGGGAATTGTGTATACACCACTGATTAAATGCAAACTGGACTAGAGTGCACAAACATCATAAATTGTTTTTATTAGAGCTTGGCTGTTATTTAAGATCCCATTCAATATTTCAGTAATATTTTCAAGATTTTCAGTTATCTTGAGAACTAGTGACTTGTCTAAAGCAGAATTGAGGCTGCCAAGATCTTGTCAGGGATGTCTTAATCTAGAAGGTGAAAGTGGTGTATGGAATGTAATTTGGGCATCTTTGCTCCACAGCACTGGCTTTTAAAAATCACATTTTTTCAGTATTAATTGAAGTAAAATATGGCTTGCATTGTTTGAATATGGCTTCAGCTGTATATGTTTTGTAACAGATTACATTAAATATGAATGTTGAAGATGTATTTCTACTTTGCATAGCTAAATGAGTTCATTCCCCTGATGTTTTTGATCTTGCAGTACCACAGAAAGTCCTTTATGAAAGCCTCAGATTGATTTCACTGCTAACCACATGAAACATTATATTAATTTCTTGACTTGTAGAACCTGTCATGTGAAGTCTGTATAGGTTTTTCATATGCATACAGTTCCTTAGGTCCTATTATGTGTGTGTCTTTTTTATTCTTTTTTTTTTTTGCTAGCAAGTTGCGCAGTTCTGCTTTTGTGTGCTTATGTGAAACTAACATCTTGTCAAGCTTTGTACAAAGCTTAAGCAGGTGGCTCCATGGGAAAATAGTGTCTATCTTTCTGGAGGTCTTCAGAATGTGGAGACCTCTGAGTAATATACAAAACAGCCACATTCTAATTCTGGGGTTTTGGCTTAAGAGTAACTCTGATATAGAACTTAGCTGAGAAGAACAGTTCTTGCCCATACATAAAAGCAACCCTTTTGCCTGACACTCATATACTTTTACAAACAGCCAGTATCATGAGACTTCCTACATGAAGCCATTTAATTTATTTAATGCCAGCACTGTAAGCCACCCAAAGAACCTTTTGGTTATGGGGCAGCATAGAAATGTAAGTAAGTAAGTAAATAAATGAATAAATATTTTGTTAGCGCATGTTAAAATGCTGGTATGTGTACACCACATATAACAAATTTCACACAGCGTTAATTTCTAGAAGTGATTTCTGTTTATGAAATTTGTTTTCTATAAAGTGGGATCCTTTTATTACAGAAATCATGTAATCCATTATTCAGTGTGAAAAAGCAGTGCTTGGTCTATCAGTATCATTTGTACCCAGAAACCTTTCAGTGACTTTTAAGTAGAACTGCTGGGGAGAACTAGTTTAAAGTTGTATTTCATTTGTTAGGCTGCCTAGAAACTTAATCACATACATGTTCCTGGAGAAAAAGGAGGAATTTTTTTTTGCTTAAGGTTCTACTAAAATTTGGTTCTGCATAGATGACCCTTTCACCATATTTCTGACTGTCAGCATTGCCAGTTGAAGTTTATGCTGTGAGCATCGAAATGGTTTGGCTGGCACTAGGTGCTGATGCTTGTGCAACTTGCATACTGTATTGAGTGTCAGAACTTGCTTGAGTGGCATTTGTAGTCTGGGATTTTTTTCAGGTTTAGCATCATGCTGCCATTAAGTGTGATGGATTTGTTTGTTTGCAGTAGGAATTTAGGTACAGGGAGAGTATATTTTGGATTGTCAGTTGGCATACACATGGTTTTTGTTCTATGATTGTGGTCTTTTCTAGGACTCTCCATTTGAGACCTTTGTTAATATATGCAGAGGATGTGATTAGCATGTGGTACACCTACACTTGCATGTGTCTGGAGGCTTGATTGTTCACATATGCATTGTGATGGTGAAGCAAAATCAAGTAGCTTAATTTTGGCTGGAGAAAAAAGACATTTTTTTAACATCATATGAAGCCATTTGTAAAGAACTATTCCTGGGATATGTACCATGGCAAAATTTATTTGTTAGTTGGCTCTCTGTTCTTTTCCTTTAAAATAACTGGAAGATAAGGCGCTGGAGTAAGCCAGTATTGCAGGGACTTTGCTGAATGAATTTCAGCAGCTAAGAAAGTGACTAAAATTGAGCCTGATGCAAACTCTGTCTTGAAAACTGATAGGGTCTTTCACTACTATAATGTGAAAACAATATATCTGTAAGCCAAGGAAATGTTAGCTTGGCTCTGAAATAAATTTTCCGTCCAGATTGGAGCCAGGCACATTTGCTTAACGTTTTCACTGCTCTGCTAGCTTTTGATTGTTGTGATATTGGAAGCTAAGAGTATTCCCCTGTGATCGCTTTTTAGTTTTAATGCCAAGTTTGTGGAATATCCTGTGTAAGAAGTGCTGCCATGCTTGCTGTCACTGCTATGCTCACATTTGTTGAAGAGGAGGAAAGTCAGACAAGGATCATAGAACTGAGAGGAACTCAGAGGTAATCTTATCAGAATTCCTGCAGTGGTAGTACTGTGTTGACTCAAATAGTCTCAGGGCTACATCCCATGTCATGTGACTGAGCCTCCCTTTCTTATTTCCTCCCTGTGAACCCCTCAGATCTGCTCCAAAGCGTGTCCTAACAGTCCATAGGAAATTGGGGAGAGAGGGCACAGAGGAGGAATGAGAATGTATTCATTCCACTAGCAGTGTCCATTGCACTAGTAGATGGACATTATCAGATGCAGCCTGTTAGATAATGCCTCAAAAGCATCAAAACACTGATTTCTAAGGTAAACTGGGGAGGAGGGGGAATGGTTCTTAGCATTGAGCATCAGTGTGGTACAGTGGTCCGGGTCTCTGGAGACCTGGGTTCCAGTCCCTACTTAGCCATGGAGCCAACTGGGTGACTTTGGGCTAGTCACAGGCTCTTAATCCAACTGACTTCAAAGGGTTGTTCTGAGGAAAAGAATGAGGGGAGGAGAAAGAGAATTGTGTAAGCTGCCTTGTATGCCTTGAAAGGAAAAATGGTGGGATATAAAGCTAATAAATAAATAAATAGTTTCACTCCCCAAATTGTTCGGAAGCTATGCAACACTGATAACACTTGATTGTGGAAACTATGCATTAAATATGTCCTCTTAAAAATGTTCTCTGTCTAGCTAATAATTTTTTATTTGGTTTCAGTACAGAGCAGGAGTTGGCAACTTATGGTCCTTCAGATATTCTGGCTTACAACTCCTGTCAACTATAGTTAGCATATCCAATGGTGAGGAATCGAGGGAGTTGTAGACCAAAACATCTGGAGAACCAGCAGTTGCTCTATTCTGATACAGGCAATACCACTAGTAAAAGCCAGGTATATCTTCTAAAATTGGAACTATAGAAGTCATTTTTCTTTTGGAAAGCAGCCACAGGTGGTGGGGTGAGGTTTGGATCAGGGCCATGGAATGGATGGGAGGGTGTTAATTCATCCCCTTGCTTAATCACCCCCACCCCCGGCTACTTGCTTTGTTAAGGAAATGTATGTGTCTTTCTAAGTTTCTATAGCAGGGCAAATGGTAACTTCAATGGGGTAACTTTTAAGTTGAGGGATCGGTATGGAGCAAAGAGTTAACCCACCTTCCCTGCACTATAACCTCTATGAAGCTTTATCATATGCCTACAGCACATTCAGGCATGCATAAAAACTATTGGCAATCATGGGAAAATGCCATCAGTGGCATATTAGAAGGTTCTTGTTTTACTGCATTGTGTATATTTTCTTAGCATTATCAGAATTGTTACATTTTAGTGAGCCACATCTCACAAGCAGGTGCATCAGCCACTTTTGCTTTTAATTAACACCCTGTGATTGGCTTAACTTGTAAACATGAGATGTGAACTCAGAATGCCAGATTATTTGAGGACAAAAGAACTCAGCAGTTAACCCATGTTTTGTTAAGTTGTGTAATTCTTAAACAATTCAGTGTTCCAGGTTCACAGATCACCCTCAACAAAAGGAGAAGTGAAGATTGCATGGGAGGCAGGGTGCACCCTTGCTCAGTTGCTTCCCCTTGTGCATGGCAAATTGTGGGTTGATTAGCCCATGAAATGCTGTTGCATGTGACCGGGATTGTTTTATGTCTTCATTATAAATTTCCTTGTGTATTGAGTGGAAGGGCAATCCAGAAATATAGCGAGTAAATAACGAGGGTGGTTCAGTTTCTCTCACCCATGTACTCCTTTTGCACTTAAAGTCAAACCTCAGACACAAGAGAAAGGTTTCCTGCTGTCATGTTTAATTTGGACTTCCTGTTGCAGAGGGTCTTTTGTGTGCCCCTGGAACTATTTCTGCCAGCTTCACAAGTATGGTTAACGCTGAGGGGACAAAACAGTTGCTCAGTTTAAGCAATTATCAGATATTAATACTGAAGGGACAGTGAAGGTATTAGGGAATGAATTCATTTTTGTTTCACCTCATACTTAGTGGCAAAAGCACTAGCTAACTGGGCTTAATTTTGGAGCAAGGTAAAGAATGTTTTTGTTCATGTGCCAAGATTGTGCCAAAGCAGGGGGGCAGCGAGAAGAGAAAAATCAGGTAACTTACAATATTTGCTGATGTTTTGAAACTTTCCTTGCTGTTGCCAATGGGTAATGCTTGATATGTGCTGGAGTCATATTGTATATATGCCTATTTGAATACTACTTTGCTATTTCTCAGATGATTCTGTCTTCTAAAGTGCAAGTTATGCATGTACCATAAATCCTTGTTCTGAATTATTTTGTTCCTTCTGTCTCATTATCCATAATGCAGGGTATTTCTGTAAAGAGCAAACAAGAAACTATTATTACTATACAATCAAGGTAAATAGCACTTTACAGAGTACAAGCTGAAAGGTATCTGCTCTGAATAGCTTTATTTATTTCATTTCTGTACTGTTCAGTACAGAAGTTAAAGCTCTGTTCAATCCAAGGGAATCATAGAATAGTAGAGTTGGAAGGGGCCATGAAGGCTATCAGGTCAAACCCCCTGTTCTTGCAGGACACCAAGTTATACCATTGCATGAATGAATAATGCAGTCTGTTCTACACAGGGCATGCAGCAGAAGGAGAGTTGGGGAAGATAAAAGGAAGTAATAATGCAGTTGAAACACTTGTTCGTACTTAGGCTTACTATTCTGCCTTCTTCAGTCTGGGGCATTCCACATTGGGTGTCATCTCCTATCAGCTTCAGCCAGCATGATCAATGCTCAGGGATGCTAGAAGCTGCAGTCCAAAACATTTGGAGGACACTAGGCTGGGGAAGGCTGCAGTAGAACAGGAACTAGGAGACTGTGAAAAGTCTTCATGGAAAAGGTGAGTTTTAAGGAGAGGTTTGTAAGAGGTACAAATCAATGGTACAATTTTCAGTGGTTGCTTCAGCATCTACTTGTAAGTACACTTAGTTGACAGTAAGTGCTTGAAATCATATTCTCTGTGCTCCCACTGAAGTCACCTGAAAGAGAAGCACAGTAGATGATTTCAAATCCCACAGTTGGGATTTGATCCCCATGCTGCAACTTATTTCCTTTGAGTAAGTATATTTTTATAGATACAGCATTGCTCTGCTCAGATTGGCATATGCCTGTGCATCCTCTGGAATAGATTTACTGGAGGGGAACAGCCACCTTTCTTGAAAGATTCATAGCAGTATACCTTGTGAGACTACAGGTAACATATAGCTATTAGTACCTCTTTTTTGAGGAACTTGGTTGCTGAGGATAAAACAAACACTAGTGATTTTCATTGTACCTGTAGCTGTTTCTGTTGACCATCACCTAAAGGTTGAGCAATACTTAGTTTGGTCTCTTTTTATGATCATACAACACCCTGAGAGACCTGTAATTGAAATGCAAAGGGGTACTTTCAGAATAATTAAATTTCCTTGAGACTTAGTGAGTCTTCATCGGTTTTCATCACAAGGAAAACCCCTTATGCAGATCATTATGACCAAGTCAACAAACATACCTTTTTTCAACTGATAGTTGTTTTTTCAAAGCCCATAAACCTCTATGAAACAATATACCTGTCCATGGTAATTGAATTTCCTCTTCCAACATTATCACCTTAAACAGTATTCTTTGCTTCCACCTGCGGCCTGTTCTACCTTTTAAAATTTCTTACCATGTTGCTAAGAAGTTGAATGGCTGTATTTGCATGCTCTTTCCCTCACAGAAATGGTAAGCAAACCAGGATTTGGCCCTTAAACATGAGGTGTCAACTCAGAACAATAATTAAGGTTTGCAATCAGAAGCTAGCTTTAAGCTTTTAAGCCAGAGTTTAAAGTTGTCTTACAGTTCTGGCCTGTTTGCACACATTTAGCCATAGTTCCTGGTTTGTATATCATGGGAAGTGACGAATTCTGACTCCTTTGTTTGTACAAAGGGAGGAGTAATAGGAGGTTCATACTGCTTTTTTTTTTTTTTTTTTTGAGGAGTGGGCTCAGTGTGATGTATGAAATTGGGTCAGAGATGTAAAGCAGCACAGTACCTAGAACATGGGGCTTCGATGAGAGAAAACTAGGTTGAGATCACTGTTTGGCTATGAAGTCTTGGATAAATCATTCTCTCATGGCCAAACCATGTTTTGGTGATGTAGTTAAAATTAAATACCACTGCAAAATTATTGAAAGAAGGGCAGGGTACAAATAAAAGGCCAAATTAAACAATAAACATACAACTGTGAGCAAATATGCAGCTGCAACATTTAGGTTTTCTGTTTTCCATAAACTCTTAATAGACTTTCTGCATTTTTGCTGTTGAAATGCTGCCACTGCTCACCATTGCCACCACTATTAGAAGCATTAGTAGTGGGGGAATATGGATACCATAAATTGAGGGCAGTTACCTGCTGCAGATTCACATTTTCTTCATAATTTCTTTCCCCAGAAATAATACTACAATGTTTTCATTCTCTCTTGTCTGTGTCTGATTTTATTAGTTTTTTGGGAGGGCGGGAGGGGATCTGTATATTGAAGGCATGACTCACAGGGTTACATGCATCTATGAAGTGTAGCAACCAATAACATTGTAATTGTCTTGCATTTCATATGGCTGTCTAATTGAAGTGCCACAAATGGGGAGGGAATGGGGCTGGGCCGTTACCTGGTTATGGCATAGGTTGTCAGCCCAGCATCTTCTCCTGGCATGCCCTTTTTCCTCATCTCTTGTGAAAGGCAGCCACAGCAGTTCTTTATACACCACCTGTGAGGGGCACAGGAGAGTTTGGCATTTGGATCACCATTTCCAAGAGTGTAGGACTTCTAAGCAGAGACTGCAAATAGCCTGATAGCCCCTCCACACCCCCCCCCCCGCCCTGCCCAGGCAATGCTGGGATGCCATACTATCGCATCTTAGCAAACTGAGAGTTCTGATGCTGTAACATTAATATAAAATGAATTACAGCTTTGTTGGCGACTTGTTCAGTAAATTGTTAAATTTTATCAGCACCTTTATTGAGTTCTCATTCTCAGTCTCCAGATAGGACAGAAAAATGTAACAATATTTGGGTACATAGGCAATTAATGGATGGGTGAGGTAATGCCATTCGGAATTTTTGAAAATATGTTTTTTTTTGTGTTGCTTTGATTCAGCTTCCAGTTGGCAATCACAGCCAATCCCAGAAGATATGCGGCCAGAAATATGGATTGCACAGGAATTACGGCGTATTGGAGATGAATTTAATGCTTCCTACTGTCCAAGAAGGGTAACTTTCCATGTTATTTTTTATATCTTTGCTTCTATCCAGTGGTGTAGCTCTGTACACCCAAAACAGAGAGTTCTTTAGTTTTGCAGGGGCAATCACTCAGAATGAAGTTATGGCAGTCCTTTGATAAAGCACTCAAATTTTAACCAAGTATGCCAGATTTCTATTAAACTGCAAACTACATCACTACTCATCTAAGTTAAACAATCCACTTTTCTACAATATAGTATTTGTATTTATTTTTATTAAGTACGTTTATACCGAACCTTTCCTCCATTTATTGCCTTTTCCTGTACATTACTTTTTTCTTAACAACTTTGTAAGGAAAGTTAGCCCAAGAAATGGTGATTGGCCCAAGGTACTCAGGTGAGCATCATGGCTGAAAGGGGTTTGAACCCCATTGGCCTGATATGATAACTGGTAGGACTTGCTTGTGGGCAAGGTTCTGCATAGGTTACATTGTTATAAGGCAAAATAAAATATGTGGATGCAGGCTCAAAAATATATTTCAGAAATATATAGGTATAGACAGGACATTTGTAACATAGTGGTTTGCCAACAGCTCAACGTAGTACATGTTTTAGACTATGAAGAAGAATTTACCTAAGTTAGCAACCCTTGTTAAATCCACTTATGGGTTAATTCACTTATTATCCCGTTAATCCCTCCCACAGCAGAATGTCAGCAGAATGGGGTTTCAGAGAGAATTTCCCCTGAATCCTTTAAAATTGGCTTCTGAAGATAGAGAGATCCTCTGGCAGCGGGTTTGGGTGCACGAGAAAGGCTCTGGACTGGGGGTGGGGTCTCATCATGCCAGCAGAAATCTCCTTGTGTAATATTGATTTCAATGTACCAGCTCATACTTGTTGTAGTGCTAGCATTCTGTTGGTGCATCTCTCTGGGTGACTGGTTGGTATCATGCTGGTGCTGCTTGAGAAGGGGCCGGCACGTGCAAGAACATGGAATAAATTTGCTATATTCTGGAGTGTTTTTAATTTCTGAGCATTTTACATGTTCATGTTACATCCTGCCTAGTCAGTCGATTTTAAGACGTGTACACCAAGTCACATAAATTGGTTTTTTTCTGTGCACCTCTTCCTTCCTTTGAATTTACTTATTTGTAAGAGCTACATTTAGTGCTAGAAGTGTACCCAAGTAGATTGACTCAGAAATGGAAAAGTCTGACTATAGTGGAGTAGGTCCTGCTGGAAATTGCACCATGAACATAGTAGTTTCAATCTTAGTAGGAGATCATGCAGAAGTCAGCTCAGGCTCCTGAGTCTGATAAGCTAAGAGAAATTAAGTTCAGCACCTATGACTTGGCTGGATTTTTCAAATTGAATTTTCAGGAGTTATGCTCAAGAGGACTAGTTTCTCTTAAAAACAAGAAACAAGTAAAAATGGAAGCATGTTTAGACATGGAAATAGGAAAAAATCAGGAAGCTTACCAGTCGCATACAATCACTGGGCTAAATTTCATTTTATTCCAATATGACATTTGTTGGGTTTTCAAAATCTGTGGGGTACCAGCCATCTCATGGGTCCTCAAACTATGGCCCACGGGCCAGATCTGGCCCGCCATGCCAACTTATCCGGCCCACCTCAGAGGTTTTGGACTCGCTTGGAGAAAACGATCTCTGAGCGAGTCCAAAACCTCTGAGCCGGCGCAGGCATTCTCAGAAACTGAGGAGAGAGCTGGCGCATGCGCCAAATTGCAACAGCTCAACTGCGCATGCGCCAGCTCCCCCCCCCCCCCCCGGCACACACATACAGAGTGGGAATATGGAGCAGGAAACGGGAGAGGCGGACCAAAGACAGAGATGAAATTGAAGATGAAGAAACTAAAAAAGGATTAAAAGAAAGAAAAACAACTTTTTAAATCTATTTTTATGCGAGCCCGGGGGTGGCCAGCTGCATGGCCTTCTCCACGCGTGCCTGCTGCCGCCTCACCACATGCACGCCTGCCGCCGCCTTTCAGCTGGCCCCCTGTTGAAAAAGTTGGAAGACCCCTGATCTATCTGGTGAAGAGATTGTGCTTAGACTGAATTTCTGAATCATTGTAGGATATACCTGAGGGAGAAGTAATTTCCTAGATTATACAGATACTGTTTTAAAATAATATCCATAAGTGCAAATGAGCTGTAGTTAAGTTCAGTATGCTGGTGAGTCAGAGAGGTCATAATTAAAGTAACTAAAAGCACAATCCTATGGATGTTTCGACAGAAAAAAGTTCCCCTGCTCTCAGGAAACAGCTGGAGCATGCTAAGAGTTGTAGGCCTATTTTTTGGTGTAAATATGCATAAGATTGTGCCCTAGATCTAAAGGAAAACAAAACAGTTCTTGCAAGGTTAGGCTTTCAATGTTAAAGTCTGGTTCTGATTCTCTTGGATATTCTTGCATGCTTACATTTTGTGTGACTGAGAAAATATATAGCATCATAATGTAAAAATTTCTTATTAGTGGACATTAAGGAAGACATTCGCTGAAATCCCGGCTGTGTTCACATACCCAGAGGCATTTCCCGATTGTTTTTTAGTACCTTCTGACAGAGATTTCCTAAACTGCTTTCTAAAAATTCCCTTAACTTTAAAAGGCAAATTGGGGCTGCTTTTACTGAAAAAGCAGCTGTAGGCGCTTATAAGTTTGAACAAAACTTTCAAGCAGCAAAGTGGAGTTGGAGGGATTATGTTGATCCTTTCCCTAGGGAGCATTTTTTAGTCAAAATCACTCCTGGCAGCTTTTACGTGCTCATGTGGGAAAAGGTATAGGTGTATACCTTATCCTTGGCTGGGAAAATAGCTAGGGGAGGCTGTTACAGTCAGAAAAGGGAATGGGTTTGGTATCCCTTTCTGCCTTCTTTATTTGCTGTAATCATATTCACAGCCCTCCACAGCTTTCAGGTTTAAGTTGAGAGATGGCTCCTGTGGCTTACACAGATCGTTTGTTTTGGTTTATAGGCACTTAGCAGTGCAGCAGAAAACAAGACTAACGGAGAAATATGAGGGTGGGAGGGGTTGCATCGTTAGCGCACGTGTGTTCGTCACATCACTGTGTCACAACTGTTGAATATCAATTTGAATTGCAGTATATTAGTGGAATCACTGTAGGAAATAACATGGTCAGGAAGTAAAGAGACTTTTCTTGGTTTTCTGTTTTGTACTCTTTGGGATATTCTGGCGTGTTTTGTTAGTGCCTACATAAGAGGGAAACAAGAGAATGAAACAAACTATTGCACCTTGTAATATTCCAGACTGTTGGTCTGATTGGGGCTGATGGCAGTTGGTATCCAAATCATCCGGAAGGCACCAGGTTGAGGAAGGCTGACTTAGACCACCTAAGTCTGTTAAGAGATTTAAAGCAAAAAAGTGGGGTAAATTCTACATCATATTAAACCTCAAGTTTTAAAATCACAAACAGAGTCAGTTGTAGTAACAAAGGGTTTGTATTTATTAGTTGAAGAACACTATAACAGAAGCAATGATAATATGCATACCAAAAGTAAGGAAAGATAGCACAAAGTCCAGGAAACCACCAGCATGGTTAATGTATAGAGGGAAGGAAGCTGTTAGGAAGAAGAAAGCTTCCTTCAAAAAATTGAAGCCTTGCCCAAATGAAAAGAACAGATGGAACCACAAGCTTTTACAAGGTAGATGCAAGCAGATGATCAGAGAAGCAAGGAAACGGTTTGAGGAGCATATTGCTAACAGCATCAAGGCCAGCAATAAAGAATTCTTTAAATATATCAAAACAAAGTGCCTAATGAAGCAGTTGAGCCATTGGAAGATAAATTAAAGGAGCACTAAGGGGAGAATGAGGAGTTTGCAGAGAAGCTGAATGAATTCTTTTCATCACTCACAGCAGAGGATGCAGAGCAGATAGCTGAAATTCTCAACCTTACTAAAAAGCAAAAAGTCAGCATCTTACCCAGTCCAGGTGGTATCCCTCCTAGAGTTCTTAACTCAAATATGAAAATGTTGGCCTTATCAAAATATTTATTTATTTAAAACTTTTATATGCCGTCACCACATGCTTTGGCATTTTGGGACGGCTTACAAACGTAGAATTAAAAAAACAGTAAGAAATATTTAATAAGTCCCTAAAATCAACCCAATTTATCAGAGGATTGGAGAATGACCAATGTAACACCATTTTTTTTAAAAGAGGGATCCAGCAGGGAAACTCTGGAATTACAGGCCAGTTAGCTTCTGTTCTGGGCAAACTGCTTTAAAGCATTATTAAAGATAACATATAGAGGGATAAGCCCTTCTGGGGGAAAAAGCATGGCTTTTGCAAGGGGAAGTCTTGTTTCACTAACCTATTGAAGTTGTTTGAGAGTTAGCAAGCATGGAGCTTGGCCTTGGACTTCCAAAAGGCTTTTGACAAAGTTCCTCACCAAAACCTCTTGAACAGACTAAACAGTCATGGAATAAAAAGTGGAGGGTATTCTAGTTAAACAACAGAAGAGAGAGTGTGGGAATGAATGCTAATTTCTCCTAATGAAGAGATGTAACCAGTGGAATTCCACAGAGTTCTGTATTCGGACCAGTGCTTTTCAACCTATTCATAAATGATCTGGAATCGGGAATAAACAGTGAAGTTTTCAGATGACACCCAAATACTTAATATGGTTAAAACCAAAAGGGATAGTGAGGAGCTGCAAGGGGATCTTTCCAAGCTGGAAGAATGGGCATCAGAATGGCAAATGCAATTGAGTGTAAGCAACTGTAAATTAATGCATGTTGAGGCAAAAAATCCCAACTTGAGGCATACGCTGATGGAATCTGAGCTAGCAGTGATGAGCAAGCAAGTAGTGGGCAGCTTGATGAAAATGTTGGCCTGGTGCACAGCTGCTCTGAAAAAGGCAAGCTCCATGCTAGGCACAATTAGAAATGGAATATAAAATAGAACTGCCAAGATCTTACTCCCCTTATGCAAATCTTTGTTATAGAAACACAGAAACAGAGCGAGTCAGAAGGGGCCTCCTGGGCCATCTAGTCTGACCTCCGGCACTATCCAGCTCCGCTCACAACATGCCCGCCATGCGAACATCCAGCCTATCTTTGAACACCACATTATGACCACATGTAGACTATTGTTCTCCATTTTGGTCACCGCCACCTGTATGAGGGCATTATTAAAAAGTACAGGGAAAGGCAGTGAAAGTGATCAGGGGGCTGGAGCAATTCTCCTGTGAGGAGTGGCTACAACAGACTTTTTAGGTTAGAAAAAATGGTGAGAAAGAAGAAACATGATAGAGGTGTTCAAAATAATGCACAGTGTGGAGAAAATGGAGAGGGAGACATTTTTCTCCTTCTCCCATAATACTTAAAACCTGGTTCATCTCATGAAGCCGATTGGTGGGAGGTTTAGGACAGATAAAAAGAAAAGTACTTCACACAGTATATGGAATTAGCTGCCCCAGGAACTGCTGATGGTCACAACATTAGATGACCTTAAAAGAATCGTGGATGGATTCATGAGGGAGGAGGCTGTCAGTGGCTACTAGGCTTGCTGGCTGTGTGCTCCTTGCTTTAGCAGGGAAGGCATGCCTTCATACTTAGTTGCTGAAGAGCTTGGGTAAGTGGAAATCTTGCACCCATCTTGCATAAGCGATCTTGTGGGCAGCTGGTTTTGCACCATGTTTACCGAGTGCTGGACTAGGCAGACCTTTGGTCTGATCCAGCATGGGTCTGCCTGCCTTCTTAAATAGTAGGCAGAGCTTCGCAATTAATATATTACTTTTTTCCCAGTGGCTCATATTTAAAAGGCGGCTAAGCTTTAGTGTTCTTCAGTGCATGTTGGACTTTATGAGCAGTATGCCTGAGGAAGTCTTCAGTTGCAGTAAAGGATATACATGTTTACTAGTCTTGCTCCACTTATTCTAACAGGAGCTTAGTACAGAGAAATTAAGCAGGTAAAGTTCTTTTTGGCTCGAAGATAAAATGGTGAGGAAGGCTTGGGATTGCTGAATCTTAATTTGCCAGATAGCTATTGAAGGCAGAAGAACAGGTCCAGTAGAAGAGAGTCACCTTCCTATTTGATAGGTGCACAAATGCCTGAATCTACTTGCTGCTGTGGTGTGGTGACACGGCAGGCAGGTCGTGTGGTGACTTGCTGCCTGCTAATGCTTTTGCTGAGCAATCCTGCCTCCCAATGTGTGAATTCCTTATCACTGCATCACAGTCACTTTGGAATCATGATTGCATATAGTTAAAACAAGAGGACAGTTTTTTTCTATTAAGGACTGTATTTGTGTTTCACAATGCTTTCTAATTCTCTGCTACTGTATAGAAACAGGATAGCACTACACATTTGCAGTTAGCACAGGACTTCAGCTTCACTGCTGTGCATGTACAGACATGTCTGTTCTGCAGTTACTACAGTCTGATTCTTCCTGTTTCACATGTGCTGAAAACTATCCTTCAGCAGTTATTTAAAATTTGAGATTCATCTTTCTGTCACTTTTGTGTGTGACAAACTGGTTACTCGCCGGTCTCCTTTCCATCTCTTTTTCATTACTGTTGCATTTCTCTTGTCATTTTCTTTCTCCCCCATGAATGGTGTATATCTGTCATTAGGCAAAGCTAGCAAGCCTTAACAACCTTACTTAGAAGTTCATACATTGCCAGTGCAAACTGATCTGTGACAACAGTAGCAACACATCACTCTTGTTTTTTTCCTGCAGGGGTTGGGGAATATTTGCAAGCTAGAATTCTCTTAAGGAATTCCCATCTTTGTCTCCTAAAATGAATATATGGGGGAGGATGCGGAAGAAAAGTGCTGGATGATTTCTCTCTCTCTCCACTCATAGTACTGACCTAGGAAAAAAGCTTAGGACATAGAACAGTGAAGGAAGGAAGGGTTAAGCTCCCATCTGCCACTTCTCTCTTCCAGCTGCCCCCAGATTATTTGCATTACTAGTTAAATCTATGTGAATGATATACCAATTTTTTCCAGACTGTAATTTTCAGCTTAAGAAATATTTCCTCAATACTGTTTTGCTTCCCGTTAGCTATTTGTTTTGGCTAAACATCTCTGGCTGTTTAGTATGTTTTATATTTAGCTCCTTCCCGTTTTTCACGCCTTTATTTTGGACTGTGTAGCTTTCTTGTTCAGCTGGCAAAGCATCACACACCTGATTTGTTACACACCAAAATAACATGCAGAAGGGCTGTTCTGTAATGAAATGTTGTGATGTGTCATTTGGTTTACTGGGTTTTAGACAACCTTTCAGTTTCCTCATTCATATCTGGGAAACTTGAGTAGAATGCACAACTAAATGTTACTACTGATAACAATAGTAAACTCACAAGAGACCTCTGAAAGTGCGAGTGGCTGTCAAGGTCTGTTTTTGTTTCCTATGCACCTGTTTCCCTGGATTGAACTTGCAGATTGTTTTGATTTGAGTATTTCTTTTTGCAAACGTCATAGAGATGTAGAAGTGATGAAGGCACAGAAGTTAACCCTTGAGAAAATGGTTAAGAGAATTGCAACTATTCCACTGTGGATGATGTGTGTGCCTGGACACTCCTCATGTTCCTGTGCCTCTGTGACCTTGAAAAATTATGCATAGTCTCTGGGACTCTGGGACATAGCAGGGACTCTGAATACTTACTACGCTATTACATAGGATTCTAACACAGTTAACACTATCTTCTGAAACTTTACACTGGAATTAAGTTGGCCTTGCACTAGCGTTTCAGGCAAATGATTGCTGCACAATGATTAGCATTTGGCTAACACTCCTTTCTCGCAGTCTGTTGTTCTGACATTTTGCAGTAGCTATTTTTCCTTGCCCTTTTTTTATTCCTTTTCTAGCTGCTTATGTCTGTTCAGTTACACATTTTAACTCCTCTTTCTTGCCATCAGTTCAAATTTCAGCCCCAGTCCCATGGTTTTATTATGTAAAACAAGTCAAATATTTTAAAACATTGGCTCACTGAAGCCTTTCTTCTAATCTGATTTGAGGCATATGTTGACCTGAATTGTCTTGTTGAAGGGAGCAAGATTTTGCTCAAAGTCCTTGGTTTTTTTGGCCAAGGCTACAGACTTGCTCAGCTGTTTTGGGAATTAAAACAGTAGAAGAAATGTGGGAATGCATGCCCTGGCCTTGTTCCCTCCAGCCCCAACCTCCCTGTGTTGATGGGGAAGGTAATAAGAGAAGTTATAACTGCATTTGGTCCTCAACATGCATGCAGTTCGGCATGGAGAATTTTAACTGCATTCAGACAGACATTGTTGTGGGTGCTGGCCTGGGTCTTGCAACCAAGCCATTTGAAGGAATGCCTTTCTCTATATGGTCCTACCTGGCCCCTTAAGATCTTCCATGGAGATCCTTTT